AGATAGATAGATAGATAGATAGATAGATAGATAGATAGATAGATAGATAGATAGATAGATAGATAGATAGATAGATAGATAGGGAGGGAGGGAGAGAGAGAGAGAGAGATGGGGCACTTATCAATTTGCTTAACTCTTCCTAATTGGCCACTTAGTTCAGACACCCTGATTAAGACAGGCAACCAATGTGTCAGAATGTGGAATGTGTTCCTAACTGCTCAAAAGAGGTAGCTATAAGAATATGAAAATATGTGAAAAAGATTTTCTTATAATAATTATAGACCAATTTTAAATATTCTATCCTTGGGTGTGATAATTGAGACAGTGGGAGCCCCAAAGTTCCAGATACATTTGAAACTTATTTTCAGAGCAAATTCGGTAAAAGGGGTATTTAGAGTATGTTCCTGAAACTGCTTCCTGCCCAGTCATGCAGCCAAGCTGCAAAAGTTGGCGACAGCTGGCCTAGATGATTGATCCATGGTGCTTCAGAGTTATGTCTTGTCCACTACAGTGTTTTAACACCTTATGAAAGCATTCAGCATGTTGGAGAAATTTGCTGCTTCCCTATCCCAAGAATACAATCTGTAGCCATTAAATTAGCTTTAATGGGATGAGACAGACACCTTGTGTTAACTCAATCATTAACTTATATTATTGGAAAGAGAAACATAACTAAGGCAGAATAACAACAGATAACCTAAATCTGCAAAGATGAAATCAGGAAAGCAAAGGCTCAAAATGAACAAAGATTTGTAACAAAAGTCAAAGATAATAAAAACGTTTATTTCAACATATAAATAACAAGAAAAAAGTCAAGGAAACAGTTGGTCCACTAAAGCGAGAAGATTGCAAGGACAATACACATCGTAGAGAGAAAGAGTTGCTTAACTCATTCTTTGCATCAGTCAACACACAAAAAGAAACTATAGTCCAACCTACCAAAAACATAACCGTAAAAGGCAGACTAGAAATAAAAATTAAAATAAGCAAGAAAATGGTAAGAGAACACCTATCTGATCTTGATGAATTTAAATTACGGAACCTGACAGATTACATCACAGAGATCTGAAGAACTGGCAGATGTTATCTCGGAACCATTACACAATATCTTTCAAAAATCCTGGAGCATCAAGGAACTACCGGGGATTGTAAAACAGCTTATGGGGTGGACTAGTGAAATGCTGTGGACTTAGTATACTTAGATTTTAGTAAAGCATTCAACAAAGTAGACCACAACCTACTTCTTAGAAAAATGTAGGGTAGACTCCATCACCAACATGGAGTTGTAATTGGCTGACAAACTACTCAACAAGTAGGTCTTAATGATACTATGGTATATCTGGAAGAAAGTAGCAGTGGAGTACCAGAAGGTTCCATCTTAGGCCCAGTATACTTCAATGGCTCATTATTCAGGCAATTGCCTCTCCTGTTAATTAATCTGACCAATTTCTTAAATCAACGAGAAACATATTTCTGAAGATTCTCTTAGCCAGAGCATGATTAAAGGTTCTAAATCACTATAACTATCATTGAATTTAGAGGTTATAGTGACATCAAAGAATATATTTATATAAGTACCAGTGTATCAGCTGACTCTAGTTGAGTCTGTTTTACTTAGCTTTGTTACAATACATCTCAACTACTATACCTTAAAAAGCATCCAGTAACTGCAGTTGATGTAAAAGCTTTGTCAGCAGGTGTCTAATGCATATATTTGCATACCAGGTACAGCTATCATACAATGCATAAACTAAATATATGCATATATTCTATACTACCTTATGACTACAATTTTATTTATTTACTGAGCTGCATTTATAAACCATTCTAATGTACCAGAATGTGCTACAATAAACCAAAAATAGATTATCTCAAATAAGGAAAGAAATCTGATAATCTGACAAATCATAATTTACTGTTCAATGGCTCATTATTTAGGCAATTGCCTCTTAATTAATCTAATCAATTACTTAAATCAATGAGAAACACATTTCTGAAAATTCTGTTCGTCAGAAACATGATTAAAGGTTCTCAAGGAAATAGTAAATGATACATAATTTAGTTTTAGTTTTTATTTTGATTGCATTATTGTATATTCTATTTTTAATATGTAAAACAACTTTAGATTGCTATAAATAAAATAGGATTTTATAGGATAAAAATCGAAAATAAATTAAAAGATACTTCTAGTTATCTTAATAACTTTATTCCAGGGAATTAGACACAATATGTAACAATACAACAAATACATGCATCTCATATTGTGGACCATTGATCCATAGAAATTTATACAATTATCAGTTTATTTCTCTTTAGTCTCTGTGCTATTTTTAAGCACTGAGCATTTGAAATATTAGAATATCAAAATGATGTTAAATTCATTTTCTTCTCACAAGTTCACATATACATTTCTTATATTCGATACAGAAAACAGGATCTGTTTCATTAATACTATGTAGAACATTATATTAATACTATATAGAACATTAATACTATGTTCTACTATCTGCTTTTAATGTATTTTAATCAGTGTTGTGTATTAACTTTGATAGTACTGTCACTGTTCAATTATTACCTATTCACCAAAAATATTTCACCATATTTTTCTTCTAAAAAAGGGAGAAAATAAGCAATACCCTTATCAAAAGTCCTCTAGACAATTGTTTAAAATCCCTGGAAAACCGAAAACTTTCAACTATCAGCTTTAATTGAGTATCTTAACGGTATTTTTAATGGATCTTTCCCAACTAAGCGCTTTCCAGCTGTATTTATACTGCAAAGTCCATAATGCGCAGCCAGCATGCATTTCGGAATTCTGGCCATACTGTTCCCAAAATATTTACAGAGTACTACATAGCGAAGACCATTGTACTGAAATTTTACCACTCTTGCCCCGCATATGGACTCCACTAAAAGCAGAGAATACCGGAAGTTGTGTTCAAGAACAAGTGAAACGTTCCCTCTTTCTAGTCAAGGAACCGCTCTAGCTTACATAACTTCCAATGAATACCGCATTTGCAGAGGACGGCCACAAAGAACGTTATGTTGCTCGTAATTCTGCGCAACCGCGTCCGTCGCATTTGGGACGTCATCCGAAAGAGTCCTACTGGAGTCTTCCTCGTGGGGTGGCGGGGAAGGAGGGAGAGCACATGTTTTTTCGCTGGGAGTGTGTAGCGAAGAGACCAAAAGGAAGGAAATGGCAGCGCTTATCCCCGAGGAGCAACTGCAAGCCGACCGACTGTCTCCAGAGCCGGAACGGGGTGAGCAACTTCAGCAGCTGGAGAACGAGGAAGGGGCTGTCGCCTTAGTGGAAGCTGGATCTGGGAAGCTGCAAGTAACTGCTTTGGGTAAGAAGCGGAAGGAGGCACCACCTATTCCCAAAGGAAGGCCTAAATCTGGGCGGGTATGGAAAGACCCCGGCAAAAAGCGGTAAGAATGCGATCTTGGTCGCCAGGTGATCGGACGCAACATCTTGGGGGAAGTTTTCTCCACATCAGCAACTTTTAAGATATATGGGCTTCAACTCTCAGAAATTCCCAGCAAGGATTCTGGGAGTTGAAGTCCACTCATCTTAAAGCTGCTTTGAGTTAAAGAGAAATGGGTTGCCGTTTATGTGTATTTTATACCGCTTTGTTAGACAGAAATACTGTATATTGGTTAGTTCTCCTAAAGGTAAAAGGGCACATATGTGTTAGTCGTTGCTGACTCTAGGGAGTAGTGCTCATCTCCGTTTCAAAGCCATGAAGACGTCTCCGTGGTCGTGTGGCTGGCATGACTAAACGCCAAAGGCGCACAGAACATTATTACCTTCCCACCTATTTTTTCTACCTGCATTTTTTATGTGCTTTCAAACTGCTAGGTTGGCAGAAGCTGGGACAAGTAACGGGAGCTCACTCTGTTATGTAGCACTAGGGATTCAAACCGCCGAACTGCCGATCTTTCTGATTGACAAGCTCAGCATCTTAGCCACTGAGCCACTGCATCCCCTTCATACTTCTCCTAGACAGATTTTATTTTATGCACTTCATGCCAATCCAGTGTTCAATGTTACAAAAAAAAAAAAAAAGGAAAATGTTAATATTCATCTTCAGTTCAAATTGAGTGTAAATTTTAGAGAGTTTGTACTTTGGTGTCACACCCTAATTAAAATCATAGTGTGCTTTTAATATTCTTATTTGTTAGGGTAATGTTTTTTATATGCAAAAGCATTTTGTTTCCTTGGAACTCATTGCCAAGTAAGAGTATGCAGGACTCTTATCCTAGATCTGCTTCCGACAATATGCTAAATGTTATTAAGATTGTTTGGTTTAGTTGCAGTATATGGCTCAGTGTATTGCACCAATTTGATATTAGTTATTCAGTAAGGCTTTATTAAGGCAAACTATGGCTGTCTTGTAAGGTGAGACCATCTAGTGCTGAAACTCTAGCACTTATTTTTAGCTTTCCCCATTACTCCAGGTTTTCCCATATGATCCAGGATAAGCCTTTACATACTTCCTGGCAACAAAAAATGAAAATACGTCAGGAAAAGAAGTTGATCAAAGATTTTGCCCAGGAGCTGAAGGAACAAAAACAAAGGGAGCGTGAGGTAAGTAAAATATGTTCATTTCAATGGAAGCAATACGTCCATAATATTATTAAGTAACTATAAGGTATCCCTAAGCATCTCTTTTCAGACATCATCTTCACTGATATTTTTTTGTCACTCTAATTAAACTATGGACCAGTGATGGCTAATCTTTTTATCGTCGCATGCCAAAAGCATTCTGCCCACATCCATAATGCAGTGCACACGCAACACTCCCCTGCGCATGTGCACGTGATCCTCCCCATGCGCCACATTTTGAGTAGGCCTCCCTGAAGCTTCCTGGGACCAAAAACAGACCATAGCACCCCTACATGCTCCCCCAGAGTATGTGTGCGTGTCTTCCGCATGCCCCCCAATCACATGCACAGGAGAGACCCAAAAATTAGGTGGATGGCAGGAGACGCATGCGCGATGCTCGCAGGTGGCACACGTGCCATAGGTTCGCCATCATGGTTATGGACTGAATTAGTAGGAAAGAATTAGTGCTAAGTTTGTTGAACTCATACCCTCTGTTCTGATACTGTACAAGAATTGTGAATAGAATTCACAAAGGCATTCTGCTTTGGCCTGCAGATTGATCTGTTGTAGCTATTTTGAATTTGGCATCTACCATATTTTTCGAAATATAAGACGCTCCAAGAGTGTGAAGAGGCAATTTAGTAGGTAGGTAGATAGAGGGACAGAGAGGGAGAGAAAGAGAGAGAGAGAGAAATACAGTAGTTAGGTTGGGAGAGAGAAAGAGAGAGTAGTTAGGTAGGTAGATAGATGGAGAGAGAGAGAGAGAGTAGGTAGGTAGAGAGAAAGAGAGAGTAGGTAGGTAGGTAGATGTTTCCATGTGCTGGAGAAGTAAATCGCTGACAATCTGCAGCACCTAGACTTTCTGCTGGCACAGCACTTGATCAATGTAATTCTCATCAATCAGTTAAAGAGCTTTTCAAAGGGGGGAAAGTTTTTGCACTCTGCAAACTTCCCCAAAACAGCCCTTTTTTTGTGAAAAGGGCCTGTTGTTTTTTTTCAAAAAGAAGGCATGAATAGCCAGAGGGGCTTGCAGAGTGCTCCTGGGGGAGTGGGGGGCCCAAAAATGAGCAAAAAACAGCCCGTTTTCCGTCAAAAAAATTGCATGCATAGGCTTATAGAGTGCTGCTGGGAGCTGGGTGGTGGTGGCAAAAAACAGCCCGTTTTTTGCTCATTTCTGCCGTCCCTAGCCCCCAGGAGCTCTGAAAGCCTCCATAAGGGTATGCACGGCCATTTTGGTGAAGGGGCGGGGCTTCAGGAGGCAAAAAAATGCTGTATTCGGTGTATAAGAGGCACCCAGATTTTCAGTCTCTTTTTTGAGGAGAAAGGGTGCATCTTATACTCCAAAAAATATGGTAAAAGGTTTTGTACTTATTTCTTCTATTGAAAGTTTAAAATAGGATTGCTACCCTTTTATTCTGGCATAAATGAATAACTTTGATGATGCTACTATTTTGTAAAGCAGAATATGAATTTCTGCATATCTTTGCTGTTAAACGTTAATAGAGCTTCATGAGGATCCTACTTATATATTAAGAACGATTGAGTGAAGATGTAATACCAGACTTTGATGCTTGTTTTATTTATGTCATAAACAAAGTGACATAATAAACAACATGGCCACCCATGGGGAAAAGATAGATAAATGACGACACTTGCATTAGATGTCATGCCACAATTTCTGTATTTGATATTGCTGCTACTTAGATGCTGCTATGTGCCAGTGTGAAAAAATACCCCCTCATTTTTCCCAATTGAATCAATTCAAATAAAATAATTAGCTAATTCACAAAAGCTAATTCATTCATGTTGCTGGTTTCAGCTGCCTTTGTCTTATGCAAATCCCACAAATATTCTGTTCATTTCAGTGAAGGTCTCAACACATAGATTCTAAAGTCACATCATGTTCTGCTTAAACTTTTGAGAAGACCTCATAAAATGATAACTTTTATTCCAGCTTATCAGTCTGGAAAAGTTCAATGAGTGAGAACTTTTAAAGTGATAAGCAACTCAATAAAACATTCTTCTGCTGATACATACTTTGCTTATTTCTTTTTGAGAATTATTAATAAATTTAGCTTTGGGGTTTATAAAGCTGTTTGCATATGCTGTTTTTTCTGTTCGTATTTGTATTCTTGTATTTTTATGGAATTATTTGGTCATATTTTTGACTGGACTGTGATATATAGCATGCATAAAAGTGTTTTTTTTTTCCTTTTAGGAGAAAAAGCAGCGGAGGAGGGATAACTTAAAAAGAAGACTAGAAAATGAGAGGAAAGCAGAGGTTGTGCAAGTGGTGAGTTTTGGCTCAAGTTATTTTGATCTAAAAAGAAAATCTCTTTCCTTGGTTGAAGAAGAGTGGAGTGTATTTCATAATTAATGTTTTACTTAACTTGGTAGTATATTATAATATGTTTGGATCAGCAGCAACGTATAAAAAGTTATGCTTCTTCATTGCAATTAAGGAGGAGCATTTGAGAATTGGAGGCTGAATTATTGATCCAGTAACTACACAAATTTTATATCACTCTCTGTTGCCTCGGATGGGAAGTCCTTTGATGAAATGGAACTGCATTTAATTTTTCTCGTGGAAGGAGAGCACAAGTGCCTAAGTACAGACAATCCAAAACAAGTAAAATTATACAATAGTTGTATTAAATAGATTTCCTTGTCTGGAATCAAGATATTGATGTGCTGCTGGGTTTTGGCAGCCATGATAGAAGGACTTTGCCTCTCCCCAGCTTAAAGCATTAGGAAGGTGGTTAGGATCCTGGAGATAGGTTCGTCACCTAGCCTGAGTTTAAATGCAAATGTGATTTGCTAACTTTGTATGTAAATGTGCTTGAACCAAGTTTCTACATTTTTGCCACAGAGATTCCTTTTGAGAATGAGCCAACATGAGAGATACATGCTAGGTTTTGGACCAAGCCATGAATAAGGGAACTTCAAGGGCATTTGATAAGATCTATTATAGAGAACTTCTGCTTCTCGAATTGAATTGAATTGATGATGATAGTGTGTCAGTAGAGCTCATCTGGCTCTTTCTTTCAATTATCTGGGCTCTGATCCAAGTGAAAGTTAGTTTCAGAGTCCAAGCCGACAGCTATGTTTCATTGTTAATACTTTACCACCAAGAACAGATTTCTATGCTATTGGGAGATCATAACTATCAACTTTGCAACATGGAAAAAGTCAGAGGCATACAAACATGGGGAATCATATGCCAGTAAAAGTGGATCGTCATAGGCAGGCTGATACTATAGGAACATGATTGTAAATCTCTATTTTAGTTTTTATTCAGGTTCTTATATATTTAAATGATTTTTCTCTGCTTTCTGCATAAAAAATTAGAAGCGAAGAAAGAAGATATACCGTATTTTTCAAAGTATAAGAACACTTTTTTTCCTCAAAAAAGAGGCTAAAAATCTGGGTGTGTCTTATACATCGAATACAGCATTTTTTTGCCTCCTGAAGCACCGCCACTTCACCAAAATGGCAATGCATACCCTTGTGGAGGCTTTCAGAGAGCTGCTGGAGGCCCCCTCCAGCCACCAGCAGCACTCTATAAGCCTCCATAAGGCTGTGCGTGCTACTGTTTTTGACAAAAAACAGGCCTGTTTTTTG